CCCCCCCCCCAGAGCCTGGGGGCCAAGAGGTAGGGGTGGAGCCCATGCTCTAGCCTGTGCCCTTAGCACTACCTCTCCTGAGCATTCGCACGCCGGCCAAGGCCTCCTGCCCCTCCTCGGGCATTGCTTCCTTGACCCTGTTGCAGGCCCTTACATCGTGTACATGCTGCAGGAGATCGACATCCTGGAGGACTGGACGGCTATCAAAAAGGTGGGTCTCATGCAGGGCCCCACCCCAGACGCCAGGTCTGCTCTGCAGGCTCCCCTAGCCGTTCTGAGTTCCCTGGCATCACTGCCAGCTCACAGGCCGCCTTTTGCCCAGGGCTGCCCTGGAGGAGGGAGCTTCTAGGCTTGTTCCGGGGCAGGTCTGGATGGGATGGGAGAAAGGGAAGGTGGGAGAGCACTGGCCTGGCCAGGCCTCTGACGGGGTCACATCTGAGCTTTGTCTAGGAAGCGTCTTATGCTGCCCATGCCCTCCCCACCCCCAACTCCCAGGCGGTACTGGCCTGACAGCCCCCTCCCCAGAGAGGCTGATGGGGAGGGGACTTGCCAAGCCAGAGGCAGGCTCTCAGGGGGCTTTTCTTCTCTCCACCCCAGGCTAGGGCGGCTGTGTCCCCTCAGAAGAGAAAATCAGATGGTAAGAGCCATAGGGCTTCCCTCCTCCCCCAGCCCTCCCCCAGCCCAGCCTCCAGAAAGGAGCCCAGGGAGAGGCAGTGGCCATGTCAGATCCGTGGCTGAGAGAGTTGGGACAGTCTGAGCTTGGGGCACTGGGAGTTTGGGAGCAGGAGCCTGGGTGGGGGTGGGGAAGGGGAAGCTCTAAGCTGATGGGGCAGGACACGGAGTTCCCACTGGTACTGAGGGGCCCACAGATCATTTCCGCAGACGAAGTGGCGACTCCCTCTTGTTGGCTTTCTCTCACCTGCAGTGATGTTTCCCTTCCCACACCCCCCAGGACCCTGACCCTGCGATTCACAGCCAGCGGGCCCCTCTGAGCAACAGGCACCAGAACCCGGATTGACATTTTCCTGCTGCAGCCAGGCAGACGGACAAGCCCTCGGGGCAGCCCTCACTGGTCTGGACTCGTGCTCCTGCTCAGGGCTTGTACAGCTGTGGCCCAAGCTGTCCTAGCCAGGCCAGCTGAGTCCCTCATCCCCAACAGCCCCTCCCTCCCCCTGCCGTCAGCCCCAGGTCCCTCCCTGACGAAGAAGACCTGCCTCGTCTTCAGCCAAAGCACCTCCTTCCTGCTGGCCTTGGACCTAGCTCCCCACTCACCGAGCCAGCGTGTTGGCCCACGTCGTGGGAACTCTGAACCAGAAGTTCTGTTGGGGGTCGGGCGGGGGTGGGGGCTGTCCTGGCTCTTGCTGTGCTGAGAAGGCGGGCTCCCCAGGTCTTCTCAAGGCAGTCCTTGGTGCCTGCCTCCCACACTGCGGGGACTGGAATTAAAGTATTTCCTGGGTCTCTGCTGTGACCCAACCTGTGTCTGATTTACCGTGCAAGGCAGTCGGGGCTCCCATGAGGAGTGTCTCAAACAGGCAGTCTCTTCTGGGGTCCCTGGTGCCTCTCACTGCCCAGCAGGAGCCTACCCACTCTGACTTGGGGTGTAGACTGCGGAAAAGGGGGACTCTCCTATGGCCCATCCCCCCAGAGGTGGGGGGCTGGGCCCTGGACTGCCTGGTGCTGGTGACGAAGTTTGAAGCAGCATGTGGCCCAGGCAGAGCACGTGGCCTCCGATGGGGATGGGGGCTGAGTGCTCTGTGCTTGGAGGCTGGGTCATGTCTGCACCTGCCCATCGCTTGGCGGATTGGCAAGGCCTGTGTGCGTGGGCGGCAGCCGGCAGCAGTGCCATGTGCTGACACCTCACAGCCAGACTCCCTGTTCAGTGCTGATTATTAGAACCACCCCCAGAACCTCAGTTAAGCAAAGGGGTTTGTTTCCATGGAGACAGGCATCCTTTCTCCATGGCAACCTGAAATCCCAAAACCCCAGTCAGGCTCAGGAATGAGTCATCTGTGACCAGCAGGAGGCACTTCCACAAGGTGGACCCCAAGGTGGACAGTGGGGCCACTGAGCACAGACTTTAAAGGTGCCCCAAGGGCAGGAGGCTTGGGCCGAGGGGCAGGAGACCGGCCCTACTTAACCCCCCTTCCCACCTGTGGTCTGAGGCGTCTGCTCCTGGAAGCTCTGTACAGAGGCGGCAGCCCTGCAGCTGGGGCCCTCAGAGTGGCACTCGCATGGGAAGGATCCCCGTCCCCCCAGACTGGGCCCAGAACACAGGAAGTGGCGCTGCCCAGGCCGAGTGGACACCGAAGAGTTAACTGGCGGGCGTGACAGGGCGCACCGCCCTCAGGAAGTGTTACTCACCAGCGGGAATGCTCCTGCCTTGGGGGCCGAGTCCCAGAAGTACTCAAGGAGCTCCCGCCATGGAAACCCCTGGGGAGCCAGGAGCAGGGCCTCTCGGAGCCCCCAGCCCTTCGAACGCCTCGCCTGGGCACCTGGAGAGAGAAAAGTTGGTGAAGTTGGAGGGGCAGCCTGGAGGGGCAGGGAGGGACCGCGGAGCCCGTCTGTCCCAGGGCAGAGGAGGGGGAAAGGGCTGGGCAGTGAGCCCA